ATTCACTTTCTGGAGAAAATCAGGCTGTATAACAATTGCTTTCAGCTCACATCCATGGGCTATACCGATGCAACCCACAATGGGTGGAATCCATAGGTTCGCACGCAGGGTCAAGTATATCATCACATTGGCTCTCTCCTTCCTGCCACCCAAAATGAGCATTCATTTCGGTAAGTTTATTTCAAGGAAAGTGATGCAGCCTCAGAGCGCAGAAACAGTCTTTTCCAAGTACTTTAGTCTGGGATCATTTCTGATCTTCAACTTCAAGCCATGTTGCATTGCCATGATTCGCATGTCATAATCTGAAATGTGCATATATGAATTTGCACGCTCACATTTCGTATAGTCTGTAGAAGTGTCATGCAAAGTTTCGTGGGCTTAGGTTAATTTGTCAATGAGCTAGATTTTTTTAACGCTGTCAGAGGAAAGCGAACAAGCTATAGACACTGCCTTTGTGATTTTGAAGACGTCGGTGTTTTCCTTTTTCAGTGTAGCAGCCCTTTTGTGGGTTATTATTTTCTTAGTGCTTTTTAGTGATGGTGTAAGGCGAAATCCGTATTTTGTGATTTTGAAGGGCAAGACAGCAATACACTAAAGCCATGTAGATCAAGAAAGGAGTTAATCAAGGCAGACTTAAACTAAAGCAAAATAGATCTATAAGCTAGACAGCAAGGTACATGTAGATGTAAAATGCCTCTGCGGCGTAGATCAGTAGGAGCAGTGACGCCAAGGCGTCGACCCCGAGCAAAGCCGGGTGCTCAGCTAGTAATAGTATATGTACGTAGCTTATCTGCGACATGTTATTGCAGTGCAGCAGGACACAGATTCAGAAACAGCAAGCAATACAACAAAAGCTAATTAGAAAACAAACAAACAAACACACTCATACACACATACGCACACACGTACGTACGCAAATGCACACACACACACACACACACACACACACACAGACACACACACACACACACTTACTCACACACACAATAAAAAGCACGGTATTATCCTAATAGAGTTTTATCGATTTGGAACTCTGGATTTAATCCATCAAAACAAATAGGGGCCTCCCATATGTTCTAGAGGTTACGGTGTTCGCCTCTTATTCAATAGGTTCCGGGTTCGGAACCTGACAGCGAAGGAAAAATGTTCTTCTCTAAAGATTTCTCAGTTCACCTCCTTTCCTGCTCTCTAATCATGTTCTGTTGTCTGCTTTGGCCTCCACTTTCTGCCCCCTCTCCCCTCCCCCCTCCCTTCCCCCCTTTTGCCCTTTTCTCTGGTCTCCTGACTCTTTCTGCCGCCTTCCTATTGCTACTCCCTTGGCTCCATCTTACTGCTGTCTTTTAGTCAGACCCCTGATCTTAGGCTTGGTAATATCTAACACCTAGCCTTCTCGGATAAAGAATAACAATCTCAGAGGTCCTGTGTACAAGTTGTGCACGTTAAAGATCCCTTGGTGATCCAAAATCGATAACAGTAAATTAGGTTGATTCGGCCGCCACCAGGGCAAAACTCAAAAAATTAATTCCCACCTAACAGAAAATGTTTAAAGTGTCCCACGCGCTCATATGACCTTTTGCAGTTGGGAGCGCCGTAAAACACTCACCAGTACAAAAGCAGACAACGCCAAAGAAAGCTGCCTAACCTCGCTATATACTTTGGTAAATTCGCCGGAAAGGGGAGATGGGGGGGGGGAGGGGTCATGGATTTTTTCGATCCGCTGTTTTTACCGGAGACAACTCAGAGGAGAGAGCACAGAAGATAAAAAGATAAAATATCGTCATTATTGACGTTGTACAAGACTCGTCGCTCGCGGGTCAGATGTTGGTGTCGTTGACAATCTGTTCTCCTTGTCGTCATATTGTAGTTCCCGCTGCTGCTCTCGTTTACAGCCGGAGGCATGACAGCGACCATGACATAATAATTTTAAAAAAACAACAACTAAGAAGCATGAAGCACATAAGCATGTTGTAAAGAAATACCAGTACGGAGAGAACAAGTACAACACCCCCTCCCCTCACCCAAAAAAATAAAAAAAAATTAATCCCATCCCACCTCCCCCCTCACCCCACCAACCTCGACTCTCCGCCACTGAAGAACGCCCGGCAATCGCCTCATCAGTTGATAAAACAAGATAACAGACTGCTGACAAAAGGGTCAGTAAAACTTACGTGTCTATTGGTCTTTGTGGCGAAGTCATGGGATATCTTTTTAAATGTTTGTTTGCTAGCTTGGTTGTTAGTTAGTTTGGTTGTTAGTTAATTGTTTGTTCGTTCGTATGTTCGTTCGTTTGTTTGTTATTTATTGATTGTTTTGTTTGTTTTAAAGATTGTAGCTGTAGCCTACTCGCCACCCCCCCCCCCCCCCACACACACAACATAACCTTCTTTAAATGTCTAGATTATAGACATCATACTACCTCCAACGAAAAGACGTTATAAGTAATATTTAGCTTCGGGGATGGGGAATGGACAGGGGGTTTGGGGGAGGGGAGGGGAGGGAGGAATCTACATGGTTGCATCTTTGACAGAAAGAAATCTCGAACATTCGTATCTCGTATTTTTACATGAACTAGAAGATAGAAAACGCTGTCGTCCATTCATGTCTGTCATGTTGTTTTCATTCATAGCCTCTGCGAATTTAATTGTGCCTGCATTAAAAATATAAAAAAAACCCACACAGAATACACATATTTACCACAGGGTATTAATATCATTATGATGAGTAAAGGTTCTGAAAGACTTGAAGTTTGAGCCCCGCCCCATTTTCCATTCTTCATACCGAACGAATTTTGGTTCATTTGTCAAAAAAAACAACTCTCATTCAATTGCAGACCAATACATGTATCTGGGTTGATAAAGCAAAGGTCAGCACACTATAGGCTAGCACTAGTATTTGAAGCTGTTCGAAAGTCTTTGTTCTGCCAGTCATCCCAGTACTGCGGTAGCTGCAAACACAACAGTACAATAGATATCTACAACATGTACGTGTATACAAACACTACAAATCTTAGTGAGTGTTTTACTGCACTTAACAGCACACAGCACAATCAGGTCATATAGGTGCCGACGATTAGCACAGGTATGTAACATATACGTGTATAAAAGGAGGATGAATGATAAGGACGATAGATGTCTGGTATGAAAGAAGGAGCAAACCACACCAGAGCACCTGCCAACCACCCACTCACAAATGTTATAAGTGACGTTGGCCTACTGTTAATGAGTGATTTTTTTTCTCCGGGTAAGCACGGGTTTCGATCGGACAGGCGAGAACACTTCATGTTGAAAGCACAACCCTTGACTTTTGAATGCTTTGGCCTAAAACTGCAACACATATAGGTGGGAAAACAGGACAGCTTATCAGGGTTGCCAACTTCAACTCATTGTAGTGGCAGTTAGACTATAATTTAACAGCGGCCTATGAAGAAGAAGGGCACATAATATTATTATATTATAAAACGAGGGAGTTTTTAGTTTTTGTAAGAGTTTTACGGCACTTGCAACACAATAAATAAGGTCATATAAGTGTCGAAGATTAGAGTGTTACAAGAGAGTAACAAACACAAAAAAAGAAGGAGGAGAGATCAGGACGATAGATGTTTGATAGGAAAGAAGGAGCAAACCACACCAGAGCCCCCGCCAACCACCCACAAACGAGGGAGTATAGGGAGCTAATTCACATTAACTTGCAAAATGAACATCATATCTGAAAGCATGGTGCATAACCTTTTGATAAAGGTTGATTGACATTTTTTGTGTATAGGGCCTAGAACGAATACAGTATGTAGGTCCCTACTGGTAGTGGTAACTAGAACCAATGTGGATCTTTCAATCTAAAATGAATTAAATATTCAAATAATATGAATTCGAAAAGCCCTGCTAAATATTCCACAGAACTAAAGAAGAAAACGGCAGCAATGTATTACTACCTTTTGATCCGTTCTCTTTCCGGTGACGAAAAATGTTATTTCTGTCCGTCTTAAATGCGAGATCGTTATATTATTGCTGAAGCAAATAAACCGTTTTAAAAGGAAAAAAAAGTTTCACTCTCAAATGGGCCCACGTTTTCCCACCCCTGGCTGCCGACAAGACGAAACTACGATCAGCTGAGTGTGACCTCGGATTTTCTAGGTCACAAGCCTTCAAGACTCCGTTACACTCCAAACACATAACGACTTGTCACGTGGAGTAAAGTGCGTAAACATAACATCAAACGTGCTATTTTCACAAGATGACAGACTCTGAGGTTTAAGTGAACATGATATGATAATAACATATTAAGACAGTTCCCCAATGCAACAGACTCTAATCTTTTATGCGAACATAATGAGATATTTCCCCAATACATGACAGACTGCTGTTAGCTTTAAGTGAACATGGTAATATAAGGTATTTACACAAGACAACAGAATCCAAGCATGGAATGAACAATACAATATACAAGAAACCAGACTGTTAGCTTTAAATTTAACACGATAATGTACCACACTATATGCTTGAATGAACAAACTAATAAGACATTTTCACAACAAGACAACAGCTTGATTAATGAATAAAAATGCATGTATAAGGCACAGACTCTATTAAAAAGCTCGAAATGAACATCTATTGTAACGATGTTATTATAATAAGAAATTTCCATACAAGAAAGCAGACTCTCAGTTTGAAATGAACGTAGCACATAACATAAACATTTCAACAAGACAACAGACTCTAAGTTTGAAATGAGCGTAATACATAAAATAAACATTTCAACAAGACACCAGACTCTCAGTTTGAAATGAACACAACATAAGACATAACATTATGCATTAAAATGTATTGCTCTCGTTAGGCCTACCTTAATCTGGAGCTGTCACTCTCTCAGTCGCGATACAACACTCGGCACAGAAAGAACCACACACAGATGAAAGCCGCACGAGCTACAGATCACATCGTCACATGTAGGGCGGGCATAGAGGAGTGTTTATCTCTGTTCGTCAGGGTCAAAGTTTAAGTTCTTTTTGCTGTGCTCGATAACGTTTTCCAGCTGACCGAGACTTTATAATGATAATAGCAAAAGTAGGAACTGCACTGTACACCAATAAAAGGAACACCATCATTAACAGTACCAAAAAAGGAAAGAAAAAAGAAATCGAAAACAAAACAAAACAAAAAACCGTAAGATTAATCTTGTGTCAAAATTGAGAACTATGATGATAATAGTAAAAGTAGGAACTGCGCTGTACACCAATAAAAAGAACACCATCATTAACGGTACCAAAAAAAAGAAAGAAAGAAAAAAAGGAATCCAAAACAAAACAAAACAAAAAACCATAAGATTAATTTTGTGTCAAAATTGAGAACAGTATAGTATGTATTATAATGTCAACGCTATTTCTTAAACTTGTAAGAATCCCGGTTCATTTTTCCTTTATCTCTCTTTCACTCCCCCTTTTCTTTTTTCTCTCTCTCCCTCTCTTTCTCCCTCTCTCTTCTCTCTCTCTCTCTCTC